GGGGGCTTGGAAGGCGGCATATATGTACGATGATTACACGATAGTGTACCATCGGGCATGGGACTACGGTGACTTCACCCCCGTTAGGGGAGAGCACAGGCGGTCACGGGAAGAGATCAGGCTGAATGTGACTGCCACGTTCTGCTTGAGGTGCGCAGAGTTGATGCCAAATGGGATGCACTTGTGTCCCGGGTGCGCGCTCCCGGTCTTTTACCCGAACTGTATCCCCAACGCGGAGGAAAAGGACTTCGAAAGGTGCCACATCGTGCCGGAGTGGGTGAGGACCATGGGGCAGTTCAAGCCCAGGAGGATTCCCTCCGAAGTGGTCGGAGTCATCAAGAGGAATTTGATTTCCTATTCGATGGCATCCGATCTAAGGATGACGGTGCAGAGCGGCATCAGACTTCCCCCTTATCTTGGTGAAGACAAGGGAGGTGTCGATGCGGCGTGGGATGAGCTGGCGAAGGTGCTCTTCCAATTCTCCTATGTGTCCGGGATTTCGGCCTCGGATGCGTTTGTGGAGAAGTGGGTGGCGAAGCACCTGATCAAGACCAACCAAGTCGATAGATTTGAGTCGGTCACGGAGTACTTCCGGGCCAACCCAAGACACGCTGCTCAGTGGGGTAGGCGTATGACGACTTCCGTTAGGAAGTTCGCTCGTCATGACACGTACTTGTCATTCTATATTCCGATGGCATACGTGATTGGTTCTGCGGCTGGTCATCTGACCCCATTGTACCCGACCCATCGAAAGGACGTGGACATCCTGGAGAGTCATGCGTTGATGTCGCAGCTCAGGGAGTACATGGTATCGGAGACAGGGTATGATGAGAAGAAGAGGTTGAAGGAGGCGATAGCCAAGGTGCAGAAGGCGATCAGCGCCGGACAGTCGGAGCCTCCCGCACCCTTCCGTGACCCGTTCGTCTACGTTAGTGACGAAAGGGTGAGGACGGTTCTTGACGGTCGTCAACCCGAACCTTTGAACGTGGACATCGAGGGACTCCAATCGGTGCATCATGCTGCGCCGGGTCCTGGTCCCAAGCAGGAGCCGGTCCCCAAGGGCGGAAAAGGAAAAGGGAAGAAAGGGGAAAAGGGCGGTAAGGGCGGTAGTCCTTCCGGCCCACCACCAAAATCAGGTGAAGTGCCAGGTAAAGGATCTGGTAAGGGCGGTAGCCCATCTGTCCCAAAGGCGAAGGATGATGCTGGACCTGCTCCGATGGAGGTTGATACAGCAGCAGCTCAGCCGAAGAAGTCTTGGGCCGAGATGGTGGTTGAAGGGGCCAGGCCGAGTGCCAAGGCTAAAGTGACCCCGGTTCCTAAGGCCGAGCCGAAAGGGAAGGCTGCTTCAGCATCTGAGGCGAAGAGTGCTCCGGCTCCAAAAGCTGTGGCTAAGGAGACGAAGCAGGCCGAACCGAAGGTTGAGGTCAAGAAGGAGAAGACAGGCGGAGGTGACGCTCCCGGCGGTAGCCGCGGGTCGGCCGAAGGGCAGAAGAGAGAAAGGAAGTCCCGTTGGGATCCCGACGAGGCTGCGAAGGAGTCGACAAAGCGGGAGGCATCCACGAGGCCTGGCGACGTCGACAGCAGACCAGGTGCGGCAGCGAGAGAAGCTAGCGGGGATGATCTTCACTCCGCGCTTGGCAGATCTTCGGCAAAGGATGCGGTAGCGCCTTTGACTGCCTCCAAGGCGATGGCAAAGAAGCCTGAAGGCGGGGAGATCCGGCTGCAGTCTGCTGAGCGGGCCGCGGCGAGCCCGGTGGAGGGTCACTTCCTGGTGCTGCCTGAGAGTTCGGTGGTGGACGCTTTCTTGACGATCTCCACCAACAGAGTGCTGAACAAGCAGGTTAGGGATTTCATCAGAAATGGTGAGGACGCGTCGGCACTGGAAGCTCTCAACCAGATCGTGACGAACTCTCAATCTGGGAGGAGGCGTAGGGAATCGGATGTTTCCCGTACTCCTTCTCGGAGGTCCGTTAGGACCGTGGACACCAGGGATTCCAGAGAGTCGAGGAGGCGCAGATATCGTCCGCGGCGCGAGGATGATCGCGACAGGAGGAGGGACGATGCTCGTGATCGTCGTGATGATGATTCACTCGATCGGGAGCGGGATCGAAGGCGAGATGATCGCAGGAGATCCGAAAGGGATCGTGATAGGGACCGTGCGCGGGGCGGACGTGACCGGAGGAGACGTGACGATAGCCGGTAGGCTGAGTCACGAGGATTGCGGCCGATAGGCTTGCGTCCGTTCTCCAATGGTCGGCGCGGTGCGGAGGTGGTGATGTTCCTCCCGGACCGCTGAGGCGCGGAGGTCATGTCTCTCCCATACCGCTGCTGGGCTGCTGGACGTGTTCATCAGGGAGCAGTGTGAGTGAGAGGGAAAGCAAACTGATGGGGGGTTACTCCCGGGTTTGCGGAATTCAAGCATTTTTCAGGTACGCATGGTCAGGGGTACCTCTTGCCGTTAGGCAAGGGTACTAATGGACATACGTTATCTTCTTTTTCATGGCTTCTGATAAGAATTAAACTTCTTGCATTGTTGATGCAAACAGTTGTGACCTAGTGTCGTCATGTGGACTTTTCCACAAGGTTTGTTGGACAGCGTTACCCCGATTAATTCGGGGTGGTGGCGGGAATTTAATGCCCGGGATGTCGCGCAACTGCCTTTGTGGGTTTGCTCCACCGCTGACGGCGGTAGTGTCCAGCTGTTTGCGGACGCATGCGAGCAGTTAAATCCTATCAGTAAATGGCACGCTCCACCCGTCATATGACGGGCTCCTCGTGAGGGGGGTGTGATTAGCCATGGTTCATATCATCATCAGGGACGTCGCGTTAGTGACCGACCTGTGGTGTTTTGGCTCAAGTTTTGGGTTCCGTCGCGCCTCGAATGGGCGTCGCCGAACCCCTGCGTCGACCGACGGCATCTCGGGGGAGAAAGAGACCTCGGGCCGCCGCCAGGTTGGTAGGGACCAGTCGTGCGGCCTGTTGTCGACCAAGGTTGCGGGTTAACCCTTTTCTTGTTTGGTTTGTTTTCCTTTGGTTGTTGTTCTCTGGTGTGTGGGAAACCCTGATCTTTGGGACCGGGGATTGGTTTGCTTTTGGGGAACCTTTCTTTTGTGGCTTGTTTACCCCAACTTACCCATTGCCTGGGCACAGGCTCGTGCCCGAATCACACTTTTTCAAGCATCACGGGGGGGCGTGAAAAGCGAAAAAAAAAAGAAGAGGAAACAACTTACACAGATACCCCTCCTGCAAACCACAGAGGAACCGAGGGATTGCGGCCAAAGATCTTGTTCAAGGACGTACACCAATTGAACTAAAAAGAACTAGGCCCAGACAAGAAGACACATGCGCTGCAACACTGACTTTCCCCAACCCTGTAGCAGCAAGGACGGGCATTTTTTGTTGTTGTTGCCGAGCTAGGGCAGCCATTGTGATTAAATTCGAATAGCAGGAAACTAAATCCTTGATCCTTCTACCGCACTGCGACCAGGATTTCCGATGCCTAGCAAGTTCAGAAGCCAGTCCGACTCCTGCAAGTCTGCTTGAGACACAGCCCGAGTCTGTCGCCTGGGACTCTTTTTTCCGGTTTTTGAGACCCCTGTGCTATCAGGAAATATGTGAATCCGCGCCTGTGGCACGTTTATGCTCCACGACATTCCACACCCCGCACCTTAGGTTTTGTTTTTGCAACACCCGTCCACCCACCTTAACTCTTTACGCCGCGTCGTTTTTCTTCTGAATCCACAGGATTATCATTGCACAGGCCCATGGGCTCACACCGCCGTCTCGTTTGACTCAATTTGCAACTCTGTGCGCCGCTCTGCTGTTGTGTTATCCAGTCCATGACACCGCTGTGCTTTCGTCGTCGGTTTTTATGCGCAACTCGTCGCATGAGCAATGGAATGGCATATCGCGCTTCCGTCCCTTGCACTGGCTGCAAGACCTGAATGGGTTGGAAGGGGGCACGCAGCATGCACCCACCTCAACGTGTTGCCTTGGATCCAGCCATGTGCACATTTCCGCTACCAAACCATGTGTCGTGGAGCGAAGATTGCAACGCATTCCGCGAGTCACCTATTTTTGCAGAGCACGCAGACAGGTATGCAAATCGAGAAGGTAGATACGCACGCAACGCATACGAAACACACCTGCACATGTTATGCAATAGAAGATTGCGCCCCGATCTCCACGTTTTGCCGCCAATCTTCCCGACTAACATTTCAGTGGCGTTATTTCCGCCTTTTTCAAGCAGCGGGCAGGAAAATGAGCATTTTCATGTTGTTCGGCTGTATGAGTGAAGCATGTTTCTGTTGCCGTTTGGCTCAGCAACTTCACACCAGTCTCGAGCGGGACACGTATGTCTGTCACTTGCGTCTCTAAGGCTGGTCATTTGCGCTCGCACGGGTCTTTGCCGCTCAGTTCTTTCTCAGCTGTGGGGGAGAGCGCCGCGTAGCCTTGCCTTAGCAAGGATGTCGGGCGGCATAAGTGAAGGGTTGGACTAAATAATATACACTGTTTGTAGGAGATATGGTGCCTGGTAAACAAGTACCTCTTCGTTGGGCCGCACCCGTCGGAAGGATGCTCCGCTCCTCTCGGTCATGAGGGTAGTGCCAGCATCGAGTGTAACGTCAATATTCCTGGCCCCCCAAACGACCATGTAGCCAACCCATTTCGTGCTATTATGCTGCTTTTTGTGGTTTTCCAACCAATGGTCATCCCATGTCCATCGGACCTTCTGATCAACTCCCACATGGCCGTGGCTCAAAAATAACGACTTAGGGTTACGCAGGTGTTTTTTAAGTCCTTAGTTCCCACTTACCAAAGTGCCATTTTTAAAACATTTGTTTGACCCACAGCCATATGGCTGTGGGTCAAAAATGGGTACCCAAAATGGAGCCCTGGTAAATGGAACCCATGACTAGAACCTGCGGTCCCCTGGTGGTTTAATTTTGACGCACCGCCATATTTGTTTCCGCGACTCGGCCTAAAGCTGGGCTGTGCAGGCTGAGGCTGAGGCGCCTGAGGCTCGGGGCCTTTGGCCCCAGTGCGGCTTCTGGGCAAAGCGCTCCGGCAAAGAGTTCCACTGAGCCAACGCATCGGGGTGGATCAATTCTTCCCGGCCCCAAAATGACACTGGGTAGCGTTTTTCTTCTTCTTTTTTCCCGTTGAGTGGTGAAGGGCAAATGGTTTGTTGGTGGGTTTCCCCTTTAGGTCACCCCAAAAACAGGCTTGTGGATAGGCTTCCAGCTGGTCGCAAGTCAGTGTGAGCTTGACATCCGATCCAATCCATCAAGTGAGAGATACTTGCCATACATTTTTTCTTTGGATGGATGCAGCTAAGATGGAATCCACGACCCTTAAGGGAACTTAGGACACATTGCCACCACAGAGCCATCATATTTTTCTAGGGCTACCTTCCATGTCCATTCTTTCCAGGGATCCTTCTTTCCAGGAAGCCCTCAAAAATCCAGGGAAACACTTGGGTTTTGGAAAGAACGATGGTTGAAAAGAATGGATTTGGAATCAACCCCTAGAATATGAAGTTTTTGCAGAGGGGCCCATAAAGGTTGGGCAGGGGCCTCTGCCGAGAGCTTGGTGCTTTTGAGGCCCGAAGCTCGCCTTCCGCTTCGCGGAGCGAGGTGCAGGAGGGGATGTGAGGATGTTGGAGGCTTTTGGATGGAGCGGGCCCAACTGCTTTGTGGACTTGAAGCGTTTTGGTTTTGGCCCTCGGCGGCAAAGACTCAGTGAGTTGACTTTGATCAATCCCCTTCAGGAAGTGAGAAGAGTACCAAGGGGTGGGACAGGTGGGATGCGCCAGACTCGCCGGGCCGACGCTTTGTTTTGGTATCAGGAGATGGCCGCGCAGGGGCGCTCGGAAGGATCTCGCTTGTTTTTCTGGGAGGTGCCACGAGAACACGGGGTTTCGAAACGGGTAATCCTTTTGGCTAGCTTTAACGAGGGACGCCGGGCAACACAAGCCATTTTCAGGGATTCTCTCACCTTTTCTACATGGAACCGTTCGAAGTTCGGCAAAGCGGTCCTGGTTTGGGGCCATTTGCCTTTTGAAGGGACCATTCCCAACGTCAGGTTCCATGGAAAGTAGGGTGGGAGGCTATCGCGATTTTGCGCCGTTACACTGAGGCAGAGGTGCTTCAGCCCCTTGGCTGATTTGGTTGCATTTGCCTGGGCTTGAGTGGGGGCCATGGGGCCCAGGACGGTGAAACGCCGGCGGCCCAAAGAGGACCGGCTGCCTGCGTTCTCGACGGAGTAGCGGACAATGCAACATCCCAAACTGGGATTCGGTTTCCCTTTCGTTCCCCACAAGGAGTTCTCAGCCCAAACCCAGAAAGCAGTTCTGGCAACACCCCCAAACATGTCGAGCTGTCCCTCAACTAAATGGTTTTGGGTTTCCACTCGGTTTCCACATTCCCAACAAAGAACAAAACCCTGGCTCAGGAGGAGCTCCGGCGCCGCAGCTTCACCGTGGAGGCCTTGAAACTGGGCGTTTTGGGGCCGTCTGGTTTTTGGGGTTTGGCCCCCCAAAATGGGGTGCTCTCAAAGACAGACACCCATATCAGTGGCTTGCTGCCGGGTGTTTGGGAAAATGAACCGGCGTCGGGATATTTCCCCAGGACGCCAATAACGAGTATTTTGTTGTTTCCTTTTTTTTGGTTTCATGAAGGGGGCGGGTCAGGCCATGTCTCATTCCCTGCCAGTGGAAGCAAAATACTTCTCCTGGCTCGTGGTGCCAGGAGCTGGCGGCCCTGGCGGCCCTGGCAGGACACGGCTTGCAGGCCAGGGCAAGAGCTGACGTCGATCTCGGGGCTCCGTTTCTCCTTTTGGTGGATTAAAAAAAGAGAAGCCCAAAGGAAAGTCCCGCGGTTTTCCTTTTTCTTGAAGGTTTTTAGAAGGGGAACCCCCAAAGCTTTTCAACGCCTCGCCATCGCGGCATTCCCCCTATTCTTTTCTGTGGTTTGAAGGGGGGGGACACCAAGAGGAACACACTTCTTTTGCGTTGCGCCATGCGCCCTTTTTGTAGTTTCAAGGGGGCAGCAAAAGGACCACGCGCCCCCGTTTTTGGGCCCAAAAAGGAGCTGGAGTTGGACTTGGAAGGAACGGTTGGGCTGGTCGACTCACTCGGCAGGCAGTGAAGGCCCAGGCGGAGGGCCGGGGCCCTGCGGCCGCATTGCCAGGGGCCCAAGGCGCCGAGGTCAGCGGTTGGGCGGGAGGGCTCGGAGACGCTTTTTGCCAGGAGTTTTTTAGAGTAAAGTGCAGACATCCGGCTTTGTATACGATTCCCAGAAGTTCTGGGTGGACCATGTTTGTTCCAAAATTGTGATTCCGTCTAAGAAACAAGATTCCTTAGATGGGTTCTGCAGACTTTTTTTTTTTTTTTAAACG